GGATTATAATCTAAAACTGACAGACTCAGGATTATAATCTAAAACTGACAGACTCAGGATTATAATCTAAAACTGACAGACTCAGGATTATAATCTAAAACTGACAGACTCAGGATTATAATCTATGACTGACAGACTCAGGATTATAATCTATGACTGACAGACCCAGGATTATAATCTATGACTGACAGACTCAGGATTATAATCCAAGAGTGACAGAACAGGGACTAATCTAAATTTAAAACAAATCTGACAGATCAGCTGTTTCTTCTTTTGTTTTGGTTTTAAAATCTTGTAAATCGTTGTGAAAGTCTCAGAAACTGTTCGGCAAATACGACCAATGTTTTTTTTCGTCAGTTATTTTTCTGTTAAGATTTGTTTTTTTTTCTATGTTTTGTTTATTTTTGCAATTTGTTTTTCTCTGTTGCTTTATATTTATTTTTATGCGTTTATTTTTGTTTTACGTTTATTTTTTGTGTTATAACTTATATAGTTTCCAGTTTTGAGCTCAGATTAGTGGGAGTCAATGGGAGTCAATGGGAGTCAATGGGAGTCAATGGGAGTCAGAGTTTTAACAGAAAACCAGACGTTTCACAGCAGCGTGAGAAAATAAAAACATCTTCATTTTTAGATTTAAAAAAATCCTGTTTTAATTTTGTCGACTAAAAACAACTAATCAGTCACTGAGGAGCTTTCAATGACTACCTTCAGGATTTTAATCCTGAACATCCAGTGTTTCATGAGATATTTCAGAGGATAAAGTTGAATTTGATCTTTTTATTCAGTTCTATTGTTGTAGAGTTTATGGTATATTTCACTGCTATATTAGCCTGGTGAAAACCAGCCCCCTGTTCTTCGTTTTGCTTCGTACAGAGGGTCTGGACTCTCGGCTATTGASAAGAGATTGCTTCCTGGAGGCGTGGCCTCTGTTGAAGTTCAAAACGATTGGATCTGATTTATTCAATCACTAACGGGTCACTGTGAAGGAGGCTAAGCTAAGAAGCTAACCAGAAATCGTGTGCGCTGTAAACGACCCTACTGAGAGAAGTGCCGATCCAAACGAGACTGTAAATAMGTCTTTGTGAGAGAAATTTAATTTAATTTGAAGCCTTACCAACACAAACTGGCTTCATTCACTTCCTCCACGGACATTAAACCACTAGACACTGCGCAGAAAATCAACGTCGTTCAAAACTCCTCCTTCTGTTCTCTGATTGGCCCAGGTCGTCTGCGGGAGAAATGCCAGAGGAGGGAAACTAGAACTGAGCAGAACTGTGTAGAAAGGTAAGGACCAGGGGTCGGATTTATAAAACTGGCGTACGCACAATTTGAGCCCAGAAACTTGCATACGCCACTTTTTACGCCAAGGT